TTTTTGTTGCAAATTAGACTCGTAATGCAGTTTTTTGTTTTTCCAAATTGAAATCAGAAAACCGTAATTATTATAGAAGAAGTATATTTGCAAATATCATGCGCCCCCCAGTGGCACAGCGGCAAGTCTGCTGACTTACAACGCTAGAAACCGGGTTTCGATACCCGTGGTGGGCAGAGCACAGATAGCCCATTGTGTAGCTTTGTGCTTAATTACAAACAAACAAACAAGCAAATATCATGCAATATACTTAGCATCCTCAGTGTTTTTTATCCATGAATACCAAAAATTTACTTATTTTTCTTACAGTGTAAGCTGGGCGTGGCCTAGTGGTCGTCTTGTTGGGTTGCTCATTAGATATCCAGGTTCGATGTGTGATGCCTCTGAACACGTTCCGCATGTTATCGAAATGACGGTCGATCCCGTTCAAGAGGTACATAGCCCTTGTGGCGGCGGGCGCCACTGGCTTATCACCTTACCTCTGGGTAGTACTCCAAAATTAAGGAGACTATACCCGAATCGTGCGTATTAGCTGTTGTTCGTGTTGAAAAATTCAAATTCCTTTTTAAATAATATATCTTTATTGAAGAAACGGTGACAGAAATACTGATAAAGTATATTTAAATTTGCTGAGGCTCCCACTCCAGTATTTCAACAGCGAGTCTGAAGACTTATAACGCTAGAAATCGAGTTTCGATACCCGTGGTTGGCACGAACAGATAAGGCCATTGTGTAGCTTTGTGCTTAATAATATACGAAAATAATTAAACAAAAACGTTACTAAGTATTATCAAATAAACGGGAGACAACAGCCAGAGGGCAGGGAATGTACTGTTTACGAGAGTTTTTACTGATGTGTTTTAGGCTTAGGTACTTTCAGCGTCATTATGTATTGGAGGAGTTCAATTTTTTGTTTAGCTTTTCTTTCTTTCCTTTTCCATCTCAGAACTCTCATCTCTACGCATTATAAAGTAAAGAAAAAGAACCACCTGAACTACACAGAAGTGATAGTGTTATTGTTAATTGTGTTGCACAGCCCTCGTGACACACACAATCTGCCTGCCACCTGTTACTTTCCAGAATCGAACGTTATAGAACAACAAGGTGTTCGTTGTCTTTGCCTTGTGCATTTTTGCCTAGAGTTAGAAAAATTTTTGCTGCTAGGATACCAGTGAACAGCAGCATGGTGAAGTACGTTGTTACTTATAGAGTTGGGTGGAATGCACGTGAATATTTTAAACAGTTGGGTTTTTAGACGGTGGTCCTTATGGTAGAGTAAACCGCGTATTTTTCTTTCGAGAAATGATTTATTTTGCTATTTAGCGAGTACATTTTTGTATTTATTATCTAGAATTTTGACTCTTGGTATTAACTGTTCTGAAAATGTTACTAACGTGGAAAAACAAAAATGGTATTTCGTACTTTCAATCTGAACGACAACTTATACGACAGATCGGCGGGTCAGAGACCCTGAATTTCAGATATTGCCATCCCTAATTTTGAATCCCTGACTAGAGGGATGACATCTAGTTGACAGTACTTGTTGTCTTCATAACTGAATAGCGGGATTGACTATCAAATGTATAGTTCACCCACAGCTGAAAGTGAATAGTTTATTCAGCGGTATGTCGTGGAACCAATCCTTTCGAAACACAGTCCAGCACGTTAACTATAACAGGATTCACTTGCCAGCTTTTATTTACTGCAGCATTTTGACCTACACTGACCCGATGAAGATCTTTACTAACAAATCTTGACGTTGACCTTAAATTAGAGGGTTCTGTTGTTAGCATGCCGGTCTTTGAAACCTAGAGTTCGTGTTCGCTTGACACAAAATTGCGCTCTATACTTTGATGTCGTGGGTGAACTATACGAGTGACAGTCATATCCTACTTTTTGAATAGAATGGAGCAACAGTTGGCGATGGGTGCTATTGATGGACATCTTCCCTCTACTGTATCAGCTCAAAATTAGGGACTGCAAGAGCACATGGCCGTTGTGTAGCTGTGCGCGAATATCTAAACACAAACAAAAACTTACTTAAATAAGCTGAAGCTAGTGGATGATTCCTATTCAGCCGTCCAAACCGTTACACTTTCTAATAATGAAAAGATACATTTTCAAATACTTTCTATTCACAGAATTCTTTTGCCTCTGGTACTTTTATCTTTAACATTATCACCTCTGGTACTTTTATCTTTAACATTATCACCTCTGGTACTTTTATCTTTAGCATTATCACCTCTGGTACTTTTATCTTTAACATTATCACCTCTGGTACTTTTATCTTTAGCATTATCACCTCTGGTACTTTTATCTTTAGCATTATCACCTCAGGTACTTTTATCTTTAGCATTATCACCTCTGGTACTTTAACTTCAGCATTATCACCTCCGCCACTTGCACCTGTGATATTATTATTATCTGTCATGTGTTTTATCATAAATTTATAATTTTTGTCATCATTACTTCTGAAATAGTTATATGACATTATTACCTCTGCCATTTTTACAGTGACATTATCACCTCTGCCATTTTTATAGTGACATTATCACCTCTGCCATTTTTATAGTGACATTATCACCTCTGCCATTTTTATAGTGACATTATCAACTCTACCATTTTTTACAGTGACATTATCACCTCTGCTATTTGTACAGTGACATTATTACCTCTACCATTTTGACAGTGACATTATCACCTCTGCCATTTTTACAGTAACATTATCACTTCTACCATTTTTACAGTGACATTATTACCTCTGCCATTTTTACAGTAACATTATAACCTCTACCATTTTTACAGTGACATTATCACCTCTGCCATTTTTACAGTGACATTATCACCTCTGCCATTTTTATAGTGACATTATCACTTCTG